TATTCTTTAAAGGAGATTTTAGACAATTGGTCACCACAGCTGTACTTATTTTTAAATTTAACATATCAATAAGCTGAATTGACTTTCCACTATTGTTAAATTTATTCTAAAGTACTAGCGGTATTATATGTTTTTTTTTTTTCTTAGAATCTGCACAAATGCATTAGGGGACTATCTTTAAAAATGCTCTATCTTGGAATCCATACCAATTGTGCATCTTTAGAAAACAAACTATTGTATCTAATAAACTATTAAAAACAAAGCCATCCAGTAAATAAACTGGATTTCACCAGAAATTTCCCCTGCAGTATCTGGAGGAATCTAAATTGATTCTTTCTTCAAGCCATCATCTTAATTCGGACCATTTCTCTTTTACATTAAATGATGGATTTGCTGTTGTAAATTAACAGATCAATGAGTTTTAAAGTTTCATTTCATCCACCATTTTCCTCTATGGTTTATTGTTACTCTCAGTAAATAAAACCCTGATTACTAGTTCAAAAACTTATTTTTAAACTTTGACCTGCTGGTAAAGTGATATATCTTAGAATTTAATCAGTTTAATTAGTGTTTTAAAACTTCCATTTAATTTAATTAAGTAATTTTTATAGAGTTAAACCATAGTTATCATCTCTCTTTGCTATATGTGTTTTTTTTTCACCATTAGAAAATAGATCTTATTTTGCTTATCAAAAAAAGATTCCAATCAGAAATTTGTTCCTTTAGTATCTTCTAATTTCAAACAAAATGAAGCTATTTTTCTTTTCCTAAATAACAAGATGAAAAGCTAAGAAACAAATCTTCTTTAAATAGGACTGATGAGGGACTCAGTTTTCAATCTTATAGATTATCCACCTGGAGAAAGCCTCACTAAAACCGTTTGACCTTCTGATCATTTTTCAGGCGGGGAGCTCACCTTGCCATCCCTCAGGACAGACACAGGAAAAGCTCAGGTAGTCTTCTGACTCCTGACACACTCCTCCATGCTTACAGGGTTTGGAGCTACAAGGGGCCATCAGGATTTCACAGTTTTCACCTGTAAGACACATAAACACATCCTTGAGCCAACTACATAAGGTCTTATAAACTCTGTGATCTCATGTAGGACTCTTGGATTTGGCGATGACCCAAACCAAACGGACACAGAATCATCTTTCAATCAGAGCTATCGGAGGATTTTATCCAGGCCCTGTCAGAATCAGGGGCCTGGGGACACATGTCTCTATCTGTTTCCACAACGTACGACTCGTACGGGAAGCCAACTCCAGCTTCCGGCCATTGTAAAGCCATTTGCTGTTCTGTGAGACAGGAAGCAGGCAAACAGGAAATGTGTCAGGCACCATGTTCCCACCCCAACAAGAGTAATAGGATTTTTATTATTTAAAGTCCTGCGAAGGTTTCCAAAAAATACACTGCAAAAATTAGACAGCCAGCCCTTGGCCTTTCCATTATTATCTGTTTGGTCAAATAATAAAAAAAGAGATTACATGAAAACATTTCCAAGTTCCCTTTGGGAGAAACACAGAGGAGAGGAATCCAACACTTGTGCAACACTTTGAGCCCTTTAGGAAGTCTTGTGACTGAACTTGACAGTTATTTCATCACCAGGACATTTTTCCTCTTTGGCTCGAAACTCAAAGTAAGCAGTCAGTGGAAATTGGCCCCCTGTGAGGAAATTCCAGAAGAACAAGCAACTAGACTGATGTGTTTTTAAATAAGTTCCATTATAATAATATCATACCTGTGTAAGGCAGGACACAGTTGCACTTGTAACCTGCAACATCGTCGATGCATGTGCCCTGGTTCAGGCAGGGGTTGGAGGCGCATTCGTTGATGTTTGTCTGGCAGTTTGGTCCTGAGGTCACAGAAGACAATAAATCACACACGAGTCCACACAAAAGTCAACGGTGTGGGCACACAAACAGGTGCTGACCTGTGAAACCCATACGACAGGTGCAAACGTAACCGCTGGTCATGTCCTTGCAAGTCCCTCCATTCATGCAAGGGTTGGATTCACACTCGTTATTGTTGATGTCGCAGTTCTTCCCGCTCCAGCCGGAGTCACACAGGCATTTATAGCTGAAGAGAAAACAGCGCTAGGCTCAGTCTGTGTATGCTAAAGAGTTTTAGTTAAGCACATGTTGGATCTGTTGCTGTGAAGCTCTTACTCGTTAATTTTGTCTTCGCAGTGACCGTGGATGCAGGGGTTGCTGAGACACTCGTTGACTTGGGAGAAGCAGGTGGGATCGTGGTAACCGTCCGGACACACACAGGTGAAACTGTTGATTTCATCGATGCAGGTTCCACCGTTGTGGCACGGATTGATGGCGCACTCGTCAATGTTGATGTTACACATTGTACCTGAAGCCCAAAGACAAAATATTTTCATCTCAGTCATAGGACTCCACATGTTCAAAGTGACTTGCGCAAGCATTTAGACCTCTTGAACTATTTCATATTTTGGTATCTTAAAAAAGAAAACTGAATTGGAGGGTAACTTTATTTAATTTTTTTTTTATACAAATTTCCTAAATATAATACTCTAAAAAGTGTTGGTCTTTTTATATTTAGATCCCTTTACTTTAAATTGACAATAATTTGTCAACAGGGAAGATACTAAACATGCACTCCTAAAAATCGGCCAACAGAGACGAGAAGAAATCAAACCATAAGACCCATTTAACGTTTGTCACATGCCATATAGAGCCCACAGCCAGCATCCAGTAGAAAGTTATCTCATTAGATTAGATGGAAACGGAACCTTTAAGGCTAAAATGCCCAATACTGTATGTGGACGAAAAATGAGCCCTGAACACCATCTCTATAGTGAAACAAGGCGGTGGCAGCATTGTACTGTGGGGATGCTGCTCTTCAGCATGGTTATTAAAGCTTGTTAGTTAATGGAGAGATGGATAGAGCTAAATAAAGGGCCATGAGAGTCAAATTTGAACATATTTCAACCTTAGTTAATCCATTGTAGTATGTTCATGTGTTAGAACGACCTAGTCAAAGTCTAGAGCTAAATCCAATAGAAAATCAGTACCAGGATTTCATAGTTGACTTTCATAAACTATTTCTATCTTTTCAGACCTTGCTTTAACTGTTTAGAAATACAAAAATGTGCAACAAGAGAGTAGAAGACATGTTACTGACTGATAATAATTATGGTTTTGCCACATTTTATTAAGCACTAATCATTTTATTAGTTTAAAATATTACCAACCTTTTAAAAACAGAAAAACATGAATAGAAACCTGCATGACCCACCGTAATAGTTGCTATTACATCAATTAAACTAGATAAAATTTGACTTCCATAAATAGCTGTTCTGTTTTCATAAACTTTTTTTTTTCCATTTTTTCAGTGACTATAATAGAATAAATATTTCTAAATCAATGACCAACCAGTCAAGTCGCACAAAAAGCCTCAAAACAATGCTGAAATGATTGTATCAATTTTCAGAAGCATAGGAGATCTAAAGACCGCCTTTGTCGGCCACTTGAAGCGTTGACGCCATTCAGGCCAGTGCCATACATTACATAAAGGCTGCCCATTGAGCTTTAAAGCAGGGACCCGCTTCCAAGCTTTTAAAAGCTCACCTTTCAGGAATCTTTCAGGGAATCTTTTCTCCCGCACAAATCCCCACTGACTCTGTGTGCAAGTATGTGTGTGTGTGTCCTTTCTTTGGGATTGGGGGGGGGGCAGCTTGCATGTCCTAACAGCAGCAGGTTGGGGACTGGGTGGAGTTGCAAAGTGACACCAGATGAGCCTCAGAGGAGCGTGCTTACTCGCTCGCCATCTGCTATCCTCACTTTCTACCAGGACCAAGCTCCTCTGTCTGCCCCTCTGGTGCTCCAAACCTGTACTGCAACTCAGTCCTTTGATTTACATACCCATAGGCACATCCAAGACATGTTACCTTTCAAACTCCAACAAGAACACCCCCCTAAAAAAAGAGAGTGGACCCGAAAACACAAATTTCTGAATATTTAACAACTTAGTAAATGCATGCAACTTTCTCATCAGATAATTTTAAGCCTCATTAAAATATATCATCACCATTGCAATTTTCAAGGCTGTACCTAATTTTAATAAAATTTAGCTTTAGTTGCTGTTATTAATGTGGGACCACCCCCACTGAATCGGTTTGGGGACCGGAGGGACGTTCTGCAGAACCTTTAGAGCTGATTGGGCAAAGCAACAACTAGTGCCCGCCTTTTAAAGTTTACTTTTAGTCAATCATGCTAACAAATGAAATAGCAGCAGACACCATGAGAAAGCACAACATTTTCTGTTTTTACACCCCTGCTGTTCCTCTTTTGAAAATAAATTAGTGGATTGTGAGAAAACCGAAGTGATAGCAGCAGCTACACGTCTGTCCTCCTGCGCCGCCATGTTTATTCAGCTGTATGTCCCGTTTTTAAACTACGACATAATTGGCAGACCCTTTAAGGGCGGGACTCCATTGATTAAAGCTGCAGTGGTAGATGATAGATTCTCTGGTGTTTTGTAAACTCAAAAATACTGCAGGAATTAAGCTTCAGCTATATCTGCCTGTAAACATCCTTACATATACTTCACTGTATAGCTATCAATGTTTTGTTTTTTTTATCGCGCAGGGAAATCAGGGTGAATTAGTCTGCTTCCAAGTTTGCCAGAAAGCTCTCCCACCTATTTTAGTTCATTTATAACCAATCTTTTCAAGGCTAAACTTAGATGAAGGTCAAAAAGAGATGTATTATATGTTCAGCAGAGAATGGAAAGAAAGTGGAAAAAAACAAATCCTGCATTAAAACGTAGTACTGTATCCTACAGAGCTTCTGATCCACTTTAGTATATATTGTGCGACTATGATGAAGGTTAATCAAGTGGTCCCAATTTCATTATTTATCTTGTCAATCTTTCTTATTTTCTATGACATATAACCTAGTTCTCCTTCTTTGTTTTGGCTTCTCTTTAAATACTTTTAGTACGTCTGATTTTATTTACCAGTGTAGCCAGGTTCACAGACACACTCATAGCCGTTGATCTTGTCGATGCAGGTTCCATAGCCACAGAGATTGCCCTTGCAGTCATCAATGTTGACTTCACAGTTGATTCCTGTGGACAGAATATTGATTTTGGTTGATTTTTCGAGCTAAACTTTGGTTTCTAAATGTTCTTTTCTACGTCCTTATTGTGCAGCCAGTGCCCACCTGTGGTTCCCTTAGGGCAGCTGCAGATGTAGGCATTCTCTCTGTCCAGGCAGGTGCCTCCGTTCCTGCACGGCTGACTCAGACACTCATTGATGTTGGTCTCACACAGCCTGCCGGTGAACCCGGGGTTGCAGCTGCAGCTGAATGAGGCCAGCCCGTCGATGCAGGAGCCGTAGTGACAAGGATTGGAATAGCATTCATTTACGTCGACCTCACAGTGCCTCCCAGTGTAACCTAAAGGAAACCAGTGCATTCAACTTAAATTAACTTGTTCTAATTTTTGTAAAAAAAAAAAAAAAAAAGCTAGTTTTGTTTATTAATGTAAATTTTAGCTGAAGCGGTTTACCTTCAGTGCACTCGCAAGTGTATTTGTTGGGCCCGTCTGTGCACTTGGCGCCATTTTTGCAGGGTGTGCTGGCACACTCATCTATGTCTATCTGGCAAAGATTCCCAGTAAAGCCTAGAAAAAAAACAGCAAAAACAAAAAAACACAGAGGAGATTATTATAGGGTTTGTGAACTACGTGTGTAAACATGGCTAATTTGTTCTCTGAGTTTTCAAAACCAGATCTGCAAATAATGCTGGATCCATCCTAAAGAGCTCTCATCACATTACACAGTTTGCATGTTAATGAGATGCTGTGCAACACTGCAACCACTCCTTATCCCTTTCTCTTGTTTTCAGCAAAACGAAAACAGGGAGATGCAAGAGTAGGGGGGACAAGTTCGGTTAAAGGTGGGGGAGGAAGGAAAGAACGGAGGGTTGTGAGGCCTCCTGACTAAAGTCTGCAGGACAAAGGAGAGCCTGTCTGCTCAACACAGCGACAAAGTGAGCGCGTTGCCTTCTTTGTCCCCCAAAACTTTTCCATCACAATGTGCATTCTCCTGTCTTAGTCGCCCCCCAATCTCCCTGCTACTCCCTCTACTCCCCGCCCACCTCTGAAAGAAGCTAGCTTGACCTCTGACACTAAACCCTTCGTTCAGTCATAATCTAGCAGCAGGCTTCCTCCTTTTTCCTGGAGTTATTGTCGTCTCAGATATTACTGTCTCCCCTTAGTCACAGTCTGAGGATGTCGTCTGATGAAGAGATATCACCCTCAGATCAACCCTCTTAGGCAACAGATCACTGAAACCCACAGGTGTGCTATGAAAATCCACAGAGGAAGTATTTGTGTGCTGGACAGCAAACTGATTACTTCCTGTGGACTTTTTTTTATTTTAGCAAGCTGGAAGCAGACAAATGGGAGCGTAGATAGAATAATGATGGTACATGTAAATACATGCAGCTTAATAAAAAATGCCCAAGTTAATTGAAAAAAAAAAAAATATTCCAGATAATAAGGGTTTGCCTTTTCTCTTTAACCCCTAATAATCATGTTTATTTACAGATATGTCATCTTGAATTTAGCAAACTTCTGAGTGGGAATTATTTTATGTAACAGTTCCACACTGCAAAAACAATTCAGAAATAAGTAAATATTTCTGTGTATTTACACTTAATTTGAGGAGGTAGATAAGATGATATGGCAATGTCATGAGTATGTTTACTCTAAAAATAAGATAATATACATTTAAAATGAGACGTAAGAGTAATTGTTTCTTCTTATATTAAATATAAATTGTCTTGTTCCATTGGAAAAAATCCTCACTTCCCCCTCAACTCAATAGAAAATGCACTTATTTTAAGGGAAAATGGCTTATCTAGACTTCTTTTTTTTTTTTGCAGTGCAAGAATGTGAAAAATTTAAGGTGAAATATTCAAACCAAGTTGTTAGAATTCTTATTCAATGATTCTTCATAAAGAGCATATATATTAAACCTTAAAATATAAAAAAATAGAAACAAATGTGGCTCTGGTTCCCTTGCAGTGTTAGATAAGATTACCTCCCTTGTGTAGAGCAGTAAAATATAATAATAAAAAATTTTTTTTCCTTGAGTCAAAAAACATGACCGATTGCTTATCTGGATGTTTTGCGCGTCTCTGTTTTCTTGCACCTGGTTCCAGCCACCAATGAGAAGGTTGATCACCTTTCTAGGTTTTCTCTATTTTTGGCTCAATTTTCTAGCTGGGGTTCTTTGAAGTCCTTAAGCCTTATAATAAATTGCTTTGTAACTAAAATTCAATCATTTTTTTTTTTTTTTTTTTTTAAAGCATTGTGTCTCTATTTGCTTATCTTTCTCTGATATCTGAATTTGCTTGATGATCTGAAATATTTAACTATGAAAAAAAAAGCTAAAATATAATCGAGGAGCAGATATCAGACAGAATGTGGGGATATTACTCACTGATCCAAACTTAAAATTTTCTTTTAGGTCTGACTGATTGCCTGCTAAAGCCAATCCAAAGAACTCACCAACTTTTTACGGCATTGCTAGTTTCTTAGAGATAAATTAAAAAAAATTTGATTAAAAAGAAAGAAAAAAATAATTAATACAGTTGAAGCTGAAGAATTTTTTGCTTCTAGCTTCCAGTTTTGTGTTATCAATAAATTAGGTGGAAATGTTTTTGCCAAAATGTAAATCAGATCTAATGTTTTTTTCACAGTTTAGCAACATTGCCCCCTAATTTGATCTGTCTACATGATAAAGGCTTCAAACAAAACCTAAAAAACTCTGCGCAGGAATTTGTTCCACAGATGCACAAGTGTGCACGCTCACACAAAAGGCGATGCAGGCATGCACAAAAACACAAGCACTGCAGAGGGATTTATCCCAAGACGTTTCAATGGCTCTCAGCAGGGTTTCCATGGCTATTTCATGTACAGGAATGAAAAGGGGGACCTCGCCTCAGGCCTCGCAACAGGGACAAATTTACATCTGAAGCAGGGCGCTTCAGATCCCTCCCCCCTTGTGGTACCCTTTCTGCTACAGCATAACGGTCTGTGTAACCTGACACACACACACACACACACACACACACACACACACACACACACACACACACACACACACACAAACACATTCTCACCACCAGTCTGAGCTGCTTTCTTGCATAACCTTCACTCAGTGTTGAACAGTCTTTTTAGACATTACACTCTTCAGATGGCTTTCCTTTGAAATCAAAGCCCTGCTTGTTGGGATGCTTTTTCCTGTCCTCCCAAATTCCCTTTCTTTTTTTCTCATCAGGAGGAATCCTGCCTCTCTGGCTTTAATCCGTCCAACTTTGCTGTTTTCTCCATCCAAAAATAATCAATTCCACCTTGGCAATCCAGTTGTAAGAATTATGAACAGGAATTCCATCCTTTTTCTCTATTTTACTTCATTCTTCCATTCCACTCTTCCAAAATCTTGTGTGCATCTGAAATGGAACTTCTATAAAGATATATATCTCTATACATATAGAAAAAAAATCTATGATAAGTCTTTAAGAGAGACCAAAGCTGCTGTATTAAACATCAGCAAAACTCAGACAAACCCATTCCTGGGTTCTCTTTTATTCTCTATCACAATCAAAGTTTCTGGCCGATCATTAGACTTGACGAAAGGAATAAGAAACTTGCTGAAAAAGTTCACACTTCCTCAAGCCTGTCCCTATAGATTTTTTTAACCTCTCCTACTCAACTGCAGCGTTTTGCTCGGCTGCCCGGGCCTGCGTAAGCCTGCCTCAGGGCTGGGATTAGTGCCGTCCGGAGAGGTGTTTGCGTGTGTTTGTGTTTGAGAGCAGAAGAGAGGGAGCAGGGGAGAAACCTAAAGAGAGTAAAATAAAACAGACAGTGAAAGAGATGGAGCGATAAAGAGAGAGAGAGTAATGATAGATAGACGCAGAGAGAGAGAGAGAGAGAGACAGAGAGAGATCAACCTCTGTACCCCTTGGCCTTGTGCCCTTCTTTCTCCCATCCCCTCCCTCCTTCCCTTCTGCGGCGGCACGGCAGCCTCACCTGTGGGGCACTGGCAGATGAAACCGCTGATCTTGTCGATGCACTTGCCGTTGTTCAGGCAGGGGCTGTTGGCGCACTCGTTTGTATCGATCTCGCAGAACTCCCCCTCGTAGCCTGGCCAATTAGTGAGTGTGGACCGAAAGGGGGAGACAGATCGGTAAGTAAGAGATACAAGCTAAGAAACATGATATCAATGCCGCTATTTTCTACCTAAATAGATATTTATTATGAATAGAAATAACAATACAACTAAAATTAGCTAATAGAAGATGATGAAAGAGTTGAAAGAGTTACAATATTAATTCATTAAGACACCTATTAATGATCTAAAGTCAACTAGTAATCAAAAACGATTGCTCTTTAATTCACTTTAATGCCTTTTCAGCTCTTTACATTAACATTTAATAATTACAGAGATACAAGAGTGGCCATGGGACAACTTTTCTTCATCTTTGTAATTGTTTAACAAATTACACGGCAGTGAAATACAGCTGAAACAGCAGCCTCATTCAAGTGTTTGCTCCATTCAATATTGAACCTAAAACTAAAAAGGAGCTGGAGTTAAAAAGGTATGCTTACATTTAAAGCCTTTGGTTTTACTGGTGTGTTATAGTGAGGTTACCTCTGATGTTGGGCCTGTAAAACTGTTTCCCATTGGCAGAAAATAAAACCAGAGAAGGATCTGCTAAATATGCAGCGGCTTGGCGGACTACATTTAGCAATAAAGATAAAGTATTTCTTAGAATTATGTATATTTAAACACCTATACACGCCTATACTTTCATTACTGCACTATTAATAGGTTTTCTGTTCTGGATATTCGTCTCGGTTCTTTGGCCAGGAGCAGTGAAAAAACACAAACAGTCAATGTCAGGATTATTTGTGTGTTTCAATTGATTCTTCAAACTTGAGACCCTTTCACAAATAAACATAACAAACAACACAATCTGATTTTTAATCTGCAAAACCAATTACTGTCTTTATTTCATGTTAAAAGCTAATTATGCTAAAGGAATAGCAAATTTAATAAAGAAAAATCATAAAAAAATGACACTTTTGATTTCTGATTTGAAAAATAGAGTACATTTAAAGAAAGACATGTTTTGGGTATATGTTGGAAAAGCAAATCTATTTTTATTGGTTTTATGTATAAAAACCTTTTCTTATGAAGCTTCTCACCTGGCATGCAGATGCATTGGAAGTCTCCTATCTGGTCCAGGCAGGTGGCTTCATTCTTACACGGGTTTGATTTGCACTCATTGATGTCCAGCTCACAGCGTGTCCCCATGTACCCCTGCTGGCACATGCACTGGAATGAGCCGTTGGTGTTTATGCACTTCCCACCGTGCTCACATGGGTTGGAACCTGTTGAAAGTGATCAATGGTTTAGTTTCACCCTCTTTAGGCAACTGCTGACAAGAGGTAATTTCGTTGGAAAGTCTTTGAGATTAGATCATTTTGTTGGTTAAACATTCAATATTAAACATGTCTGATTACAACAATGATAACCCTGGGGCTCTTATTTTCTGCAATTAGGGGTTTCATTATTCCATAATAACAAAGAGTGTGATCTTTACTCGGGTTTTGATACTGGAAGATAAACTGTTTTGGGTTTAGGCAGAGTGATTTTTACCCATTGAGCATTCATCTACATCCTTATCGCAGGAAAGACCGACGTATCCTGAAGGGCAGGTACAAATAGGTTTTCCGGTGACAGGGTTGGTGTCACAGTTGGAGTCCTTTTTACACGGGTTACTGATGCAGGCGTCCTCTAGCTGGCACAGCAGACCTGCAGAAGAGTTAAAGGGGATAATATTAATGACTTCTATTCATTTTCCCTCTGCAAACCAACATCAATCATCTAATTATAACCCTGGAGTGTCCCTTTACCAAGAAAAACTTCCATTGCATTTGATCCCTTCTAGTTTAAAAAAATCTCTAAAACTTAAATAATATAGTTCTGCATCTGTTAGCGATTTGTAGTCCTCTAAGCAATTTTAGGTGGCCCTTGATTATGATTCAAGTTCCGGATTTTGATGCAGACACACGTTAAAATAAAATACTAACTGCAATTTTCCCTTTAAAAAGAACAATGAATTATAATAAAAAAAACCTTCTTGAAATGTTTTCTTTGTACATGCTATTTTAACCATGTATTAGTCATGTTTTGCTTTTGGTGTTATTTAAATAAAAAAGGCTACATACATCCAGTGACTAATATGAAATAACAGACTTGGATGAGCACATCTGTCAGAGTTGGAAAAATAAAGCAACAGTGAGGTATTTCATGGTTGCTGAAGAAAAACAAATAAAATCTGGAAAAAAAAATGTTTGCTGTGCTTTTGTTTTTATCCAAGCAAACCTAAAGACCTCTATATTTTAAATCGATAATAACGCAATTCAATACAATTTGCAACTTTACTTTTACGGGAAACCAATTAGCAACACACAAATCCCTTTTAATTGTCTCGGAAAAGTCCCTTTTAAGAGACAATTAAATCAAGTCATGCAGGTTGGATAAAAGTTTTCTATTTGCCTGTATTGCGTCATTAATGCTGCATATCTATAGAAATTGGACTACTTTGTTTCAATGCTCTACACTGAACAAAGATTCGTTTTTTGTTTGAGATTTATGACCCTTTGTTTTACCTACACATGATGTTTGCCCTTAAGTGCCAGTACGTTTGAGATTGAGCAATCTGTAAAGCATATTATCCTGATTGGCTGCAAGGAAATCATAGAACATCCTCTTTATGCCACCAGATAACATACTTGTAGTTTGGGATTTTCAGTTAATTTAGAATTCAGGAGGAGTGGTCTGCTCCACATACTCTGTGTAAACACCCTTCTTTATTTATTTGAACTATGATTTAACCACATGAAATGTTTTTCTATGAAATTTGTGTATAACCTCATGAGTTGTGTTGCATTAAAGCCATTTTATTTAGTAAAAAACAACTGTAAAACTTAAAAGAGAGAATGTGAAAAATATAATTCTTTAAGATTAAATCTTTATGATTTGGGTTTGATTTTTCACACACACCTGTACGACCATGAGGACATTCGCAGAAGAACGAAGCCACGCGGTCATGGCAGGTAGATCCCGGGTAGCAGGCAGCACTGGCGCAGTCGTCGATATTCTCGCTGCAGTCGTCTCCAGACCAGCCGTTCACGCACACACACTGGTAGCCGCCGTAAATGTTGTGGCACGTGCCGCCATTCAGACATGCATTGGGCATAAGCTGGCACTCATCAACATCATCCAGGCAGAGCTGACCTGTGGTGAAACAAGCAGGAGTTGTTTATTCCTCAGAAGAATGAATGAATAGTTTCTAAATCAACTACATTTCATCTGCATAACACAATTTGAGGAGAAGAAAGAAATGTTGTAGGAACCTGTAAATTCTGGTTTACACTGGCAGTTGTAGGTGTTGACTCCATCCACGCACGTGCCCCCATTCTGGCAGTCATGACCTGGACAGTCATCTATATTATTGTAGCAGTTTTTACCAGAAAATCCTGTAAAAGGCAAATAGAGAAAGTAAACATTACACAGCAGCTTAGTTACTTTAAGCACCAAAAAGAAACTCAGTTTCTCACTCTCGCCCTGGTCTGAAACAACAACTGCAGTTACAATTTTGTTCCGTTAAATGTGGTCAACTGTCTTTTCCTTCCCTAGAAAGAAGGCAGCTGTGCCCTTCTGAGGTCTGTGGGAAGCGTGCCATGTAATAACATCCCCTCCGCTTTACAGTTGCGCAAGAAACTACCTCTGGACCAAAAAAAGTGGTGAGTTTGGTTACATAACCTGCAAAGTAAAGCCAATATTACATGTAACTGCCACTTCATCACAGCTTGTTATTCCTAGAAAATAGCAGAAATATACTGATATATGCATATACTTATAAAAACAATTTTATTTAACTGTTAAAATCTTACTGATAAGTAAAATTGATCAAATTAGCTGTATGTACATTTGAAGAATAGATTACTTAATCTATTTTAAACAGAAAATTCTAATTTAAAACAGATAAATAAACTAATAAAGTTCTGATTTATAGTTCATCTCAAAATTGCATACTTTAAAGATTACAATTTTCACATTTGTTGATTCAATACCAGTTAGAAAGAAACAAATCTTTAAAAAACATGGATGGATGGATGGATGGATGGATGGATGGATGGATGGATGGATGGATGGATGGATGGATGGATGGATGGATGGATGGATGGATGGATGGATG